GGAGACTGAGATTAGATGGGGCTAAATAATTTTCAGTCAGAGGTAGAATGTGGAGGACGTGTCGCAGCTAGCTCCAGACGCGTCACAGCCGAGAGGAAATGGGTGGCAAAGGTATATGTCAATGCTGTGCTGAATGGTTATATTACTACCTTAAAAAAACAACAAGCAGAAACTGGACGTTTCGAGCGAAGGTCCTTCGTCAAGAGTTAGTAGGGCCTTCGCTCGAAACGTCGAGTTTCTGCTTGTTTTTTAAGGTAGTACTATAACCACTCAGCACAGCATTTTCACATTGGTACTACCTACACTCGTACAGACTGTTTTAGTAGTTATAGTATATGTCAATACCTACCTATAATCACCTAATCATGTTTCGCTCGCTACTTTGGTTTAAATAAATGATTACAAAGCCCAGTCGAATTGTAATCAGGACCCAACGTTTCGACACTCCAGTCTAGTGTCTTCATCAAGGGTCATCTAAAGCAATCGCGGCTTCTTAAGGACTGAAGGTCGGCGAAAATGGCCCTGCATGGGATCGGCTGGTCACATGACACCCAGAATTTCTGGGTGTTTTGATACGAAAATTTATGTGAAAAAAATCTTGTTGTTTGTTTTCGAATAATAAATGCGAGGTAATGATCTAATAATAGGACGTAAGTGAATCTTGACTAGCTTGACTATACTCTTTGTATTTTCTTAAGTTTACCATATAATTTGAAGACAAAAAAGTTATTTGAATTTGAATAAATTAAACTGCGAAACAATTAATGCGTTTTTAAACAGAGCAATGAAATTATAAAATTGATCAGTCGATCCCAGGGCCATTTTCGCCGACCTTCAGCCGTGAAGGCAAAATGCCCTGGGGACGAGGTTGACAATGACCTTACTGATTCCTTCTAATTTGAATCAAATGTTCCGGTCAGATCGGTCCAAAACTCAAACGTTTGGTGTTCCATTGAACAAATTGATCCTTCTGATCTGCTTTGACTGTGTTAATGGCAAGAGGGTATTACAGTGTAAAACACATATCTTCGTTAATTTACTTACATCTCGATATTCATTGTGTTTATTTTCATCAGGGCTAGATACAGATACGCTAGTATCAAATGTTTCTGAGAGGGATTCATAATCAAGGAGACAGGATATCATTGCTAACATCTGAATGTCATGAATTTCAGTATGATACTTCAACCTGAACAAAAAATATAACATACAATTTGTATAGCTGGGAGTGTGATTTCATACCCCAGAATGCATCCAACAGCAACGTTTTTTAGCATTCAGTATCATTCAAAATAATCTTACAGCGACTGAAGAAGTTTTCTTCTGTTTCGAGCTGTTGCTAAAGGTATCCGACGAGGCTACTGATATACTAAACCATGTTTATTCCCATCATCCTTTTAGCGCTCATATTGCACATTTGACGATTGTCTCAGTGACTCTCTTTTATTCAAATAGCTGTATAACTAGTTAATACGACGTTATCCACAGGCGCGTAGCCAAGGGGGGGAATGGAGGGGTCCGGACCCCCCCCCGCACACTCTTTGTAAAGATCAATATTGTAACTCTTCCAAAAGTGAGAAGAAACTAGGGGGGGAGGGTGCAAGTTGCGAATATTTTTAAAGAAATCAACTTTCGTCATTAAATTGAAACAATTGCGTATTTGCGTTCACAGGCAATCCAGATGTTATATGTACAGTTTAGTTTTATGCAACGCTTCAGAATATCTTCAAAGAGAAGAAATGGACTTACTTAGTAACTGCTGTTGATGCGGTAACCTTGCTAATCGCTAAATTTTCTTCTTTCCGGAATGAGGAAACATTTGCCGAGTTTGTGCGCACTGCTGAATTCAAGGCAGTCGAATTTCACGTTGAAGATTCGTTTAGAGATCCCAGCAACAAACGCCGTAGAACGCTTTCAAGTCTAGCTGATGGAACGAAACATTGCTTGATGCATCATTAAGTCACCACGTTATCTCCTCAACTCATAACAGCACAACAGTGTCAGCAGAAAATGATTTTTACTATTGTCTGCTTCTTGATCTGCTGTTGAGGGAGCTGAAGAGGCGATTTTCAGTGGAATCTTGTGAAGTGTTGGTACAATTCTGAATGCAGTGCGTTGGAGTGATGATAATTAATATTGAAAAGGTGCGGAATTTGACAAGATACAAAATCCCAGAGAAAGCAAACTGTCGGGAATATTCCTTGTTCCGGGAGTCTGGATGCTTTCACAGTTTGATGCAGGAGATGGAAGAACGCAAGAAACATGGGTGGAAAACCCCTTACCTTCTATTAATATTAAGAAATTTGGTGAAAGTGATTACGCTGGCCTTTACCGAAACCTTCGCAGAATCATTTGTTTTGCGTCCACAATTCCAATTACAATAGCTTCATGCGAAATATGCCACAGCAAAGTTAAAATTATCAACAATTACTGACATGAGAGCAACCATGTATGAAGACCGACTTGAGATCTTGGTTCTTGCAAGCAGCGAAAGAGATGTAGCCGAAGATATTAAGTTGCATTCTCTTGTCGATACATTTGCTTTGAAGCCTAGAAAACTTCCACTATAATATATTCGTGTAATCTGAAAGTTAGATGCAAAGTTCTATGAAAACGGAACACAAATTAGATTCCCGCGTTCGTGTAAATGTTGCATAATATGTATATCGTTTTAAAAGGAATTAAAGTGATTTTAAAATGCATTAAAGCATTTATCAACTTAATAACAAGTTCATAAAACTTTCTTTATCTATTACTAATTTGACATGTTATGTTATTAGATTATTACGCATATACTTTGCTAATCTCGTAAATATTTCATCTATGGCATAAAATAAACCAAATCTGTGGCATATAGATCACCAAAAGGCCATGCCAAATATGCACTTCGCAGCGTTTCTCTAACCTAAAAATTGAAAAAATTTTTAGAACAGTACTTTTATGTATTTGACACTTTAGACCCCCACCCCCCATTCGTACGGGGCTCGCTACGCGCCTGCTTATCCATTAGGCCTACAAAAAATAAAAACACAGAAACGTAAAAATGAGGCGAAAAACATTACAATAACGCATTTTATCCCCATATCCGTTCCGCATATGCTCCGTGGATCCGCTTCCATCACATTTTAACTTAATTGTGACATGTTCACACAATAACAATAACAAGAACATTGACCTTTGACTTTATATTCCCAAGATCAAGTAGTGTTTCACGAGTCATTTTCAGCTTTTCGCATGTAGGACAGGTAAACTACGTCAAGCGTTCCTCTTTTGAGTTTCTAAATTGATTGCAATTTTCCTCATTACCTTTGCAATTTAAAAAACTCCCTTGCAAATCCCTTGAGGGAATTTGCAATGTTGCTAAAAGCCAATTAAATTATCCTCAGTTCCTGTTCTGTTCTGCGTGTTGCCATTGGCTAACAAAAATAATCCACCAATGACAACGCTCAGAACAGAACAGAACAGAACAGAACAGAACAGAACAGAACAGAATAGAACAGAACAGAACAGAACAGAACAGAACAGAACAGAACAGAACAGAACAGAACAGAACAGAACAGAACAGAACAGAACAGAACAGAACAGAACAGAACAGAACAGAACAGAACAGAACAGAACAGAACAGAACAGGAAGTCAGGAAATTAAAACAGGAAGTTAGGAAAATTGTAAATGAAGTTTTTTGCATTGGAATATTGCAACAGCCGATAGGAACATTTCAAATTCCCTCAAGGGTTTGCAAAGAGTTTTTCAAATTTGCAAAGCTAATGAGGAGAATTCCAAATGAGTTAGGAAGTCAAAAAAGGAACGCTTCACGTAGTTTACCTGTAAATGTCACTTTAGATTTCAATAGTTTCTTAGTTAAATATAGCAGTGTTTATTGCAGTTTTGACAAGCTTCAAAACAGATAGATTCTCGTAAGATCTAGCAGAGATTCTCAATCAATGAGAAATTCTCATTGCATTGAATATTGCATTGCCATTGAACACGAGTCTACACCGTTGTGCTAGTAGACATGTGAACAAGGCCCGTGACTGCATGGAATATTTCGCTCATTATACTGCGTGTAGCCATCTACATGTTCCTTTACGGAGCAAGAGAGTGAGGAGTCAAAAGACGCTGTGGCTTACTGATACAATAAAACTCGATATGAATCGTAGAGACTATCTTAAGAAAAAAGCGGTAAAAAATAATTCTTTGTGGTATCATAATGCTTATAAGACTCTACGTAATAAGATAAACAAAGATGTCATTTGCACTAAAAGGAAACTTTATGTAAAATCAATTGAGAAAAACATGGGAAACCCTAAACTTATGTGGAAACACTTAAATTGTCTGCTAAATAGAAAGTCTAAACGTACTGGTGTACAAGCCTTTAGAGAGTTTGAGCAAGACAACGAAGTCGAACGACGACGACGTGGTTGACAATTTTTGCCTGCCTTGCACATTACTTTGCGCATTCTGAGTTTAGGATCAGGAGTGAAGACAGATTAGAGATTCATGTCTAGCTGTTTGTGAATGCTGACCCAAATCCTTACCCTGATCAGGATAAAACAGCGAGACATGAATCCATATCCCGTCTTCGTCTTCTGCCTTCGTTCACAACGAATATTTTGGCAAAATTCGTTGTGAACTTCGTTCTGCACGAAGGCACAAGGACAAAGACGGGATATAGTTTCATGTCTCGCTGTTTTTTTCTGAATCAGGACAAGAATTATGGTCAGTATTCATAAACAGCGACACATGGGAAGACACGTTGTGCAACCACCAGTGACGTCCAGCTCAGTATGCGCAAGATAATGTACAGACGGCAAAAATTGTCAAGTATGCCTTCGTCTTCGTACTTCGTTGTCTTGCTCAAACTCTCTAATTAAAACTGACGAGGGAGACGTTGTCGAGAGCCAAGACAATAGCCGAACTGTTTTATGATTATTTTTCTAATATTGGTCCAACCTTATCAAACCAAATAACAAGCATAAGTAGCCAGGGTTTTGAAAGTTACATGACGCATGAAGCTTCTGGAATATTTGAATTTGCGACTGTTGATAGCACAATTGTACTTAATGAACTGGAAAAATTAAACTCGTCTAAATCGACAGGCCCAGATAATACCCCATTTAAACTGTTGAAAGACTCCAAAGAGACAGTTTCACCTTTCTTGGCATACATATTTAATACTTCCCTATGTAATGGGATATTCCCCGATAACCTTAAGGTGGCAAGAGTTTCACCAATTTATAAAGAAGGTGATAAAAAAGAAAGGGGTAATTATAGACCGATATCTGTTCTTTCGACTGTCGCTAAACTATTTGAGAAGCTCGTATGCATACAGTTAACAGATTATCTAAATGCAAATGACATTCTAAGCCCGTGTCAGTCAGCCTTCCGTCAGAACCACTCAACAATGTCGTCCTTGTTGTCAAATAGCGATTCATGGCTAATCAATATGAATGCTGGGCTTGAAACGGAGTTGTATTTCTTCGGATCTGCGTAAAGCATTTGATAGGGTTGATCATGCATGAAATCCTCATTGAGAAGTTACAAAATTTATGGGGTTCAAAATACTGCCCTCAAGTGGTTTATTTAATATTTATTTGATCGAAAACAGTTTTGCAAGGTGGGAAGTGCAGCATCGTCAACAAAAAATATACGCTGTGGAGTTCCACAAGGTTCAAATCTCGGTCCATTGTTATTTCTCTTGTATGTCAACGATCTCCCGAACTGTCTAAGACAATCTAGTGCTGAAATGTATGCGGATGATACGAATTTGACGGCGTGTTCCGATGATATTAACTATTCGCAAGCCATTTTAAATTCAGACTTGAAAAATATCCATCAGTGGATAGTAGCCAATAAATTAACTTTGAATGTTGGTAAAACAGAGTATATGATTATCGAAACACGGCAGAAATTAAAAAATTTCTCAAGTGAAATGAATATTAACATCGGTGGGAAAAACTTAACTCAAGTCGTTTCTGAAAAAGTCTTAGGCATAATAATAGATGATCAATTACGCTGGGATGAACAAATAGACAACATAAGTAACAAAGTATCTCAAGGCATCGGCATGTTACGACGAGCTAAACAGTTTGTTAAAAGAGACAGGCTTCAATTTCTTTATAATTCTATGGTTCAACCTTATTTTGAGTATTGCTCCTTGGTTTGGGGCAACTGCAGCGAATCCCTGAAGGAAAAACTGCAGAAGCTTCAAAACAGGGCAGCAAGGGTCATTACAGGTGATACTTATGATATGCGTTCAAAAGATATTTTAAACAAGTTGAATTGAAAAAACCTATATCCGTAAAGAGAAAAGAAAATGCAAGTGCGCATATGTTTCAAAATCTATTACCGGAAATTGCCCGAAAATTATCGCTGAAAAGTTTAAAATATCAAATTCTGAAAGATATGATTTAAGAAGCAATAATAAATATTTAGCATTGCCAAAACCGAAATGTTCGCACCTTTGGATATGCTGCAGCTAAAACTTGGAACGAAAGGAATAAAGTAGAGTGAATGTATCTCTATCTCTGTATTTTTGTTTTTTTCTTTTTAATATTGTACATAACTGGTATACTTATTGACACACGGCCTAATGAAAAGCAATCATAATTAATTTGTATATATACGAATATATATATATATATATATATATATATATATATATATATATATAACTACAGATGGTACCGTATCGGCCTTTTGGGCCTCATCAGTGTAGTGCTGATGAGCAGGATGAAAGTAACCACTATTAATAGTTACCTTTGATGTCTCACGAATGTGGGACATCAAACCATTGCCAGAGTGCTCAAACTGCAAGCAGTGAGCATGCACACAATGCATAAGCAGCAATGGCTCATCCTGTAGAGTGTTCAATATGACCCTGTAGAGTGCTCAATATTTAGTAATAGATGGGTTGATTAGACACCGTGTTAAAAGATGTGAAAATAATAATAATAATACTTTGTGGTGTAGCACCTTATACAGTCGATGTATATTGAATATACGGTCTAAACAATATATATCCGCACTTAAAATATTAATTGAATGCAGGTAAAATACAAAACATTAATTTATATATTGCGTACAATCTCAAAGATTTTCTCAATAATCAATATTCATGTCTGAAATGTTTATATATTTGAAAACAACCCTGTATCGCTCCTTCTGTATAATGAATATACCGTCAAAACAATGTCGGCACTTAATTCAATGCCTAAGTAGAATAAATCACTACGAACATAAATCGTATACACCCCACGGAAAGTTTACTCTATGACTGACTGAATGATTGAATGAATGAATGAATGACTGATTCGTGTTAATTTTCGCCACTCATCACAATAGTGTAAAGTGAAGCGTTACACTGAAAAAGAAGATAACTTGAAACCAAAATAAGGAACTTACGTATAGTTTTGACCTAGAGAGCGATTAAAGGACATCAGTGACGAAGCGTCACGTAAAATTACTAAAGCTTTGCGATAAGAGCTGTTTGACTTTACACCAGTCTAAAAATAATAACTTTACTCAACTAATTAACAACTTATTTAATCACGTCCAGGGAATACACTAGAACGCAATCTTTTATATCTTTCTATCTATCACACATGCATATTTATGTAGCGTTTTCTCTGAATATTTGAAAGAAATCGTTTCTTTCAAAATCCTTAAAGTCGCTCGATGTATTAATCCACACAAAATTCCTTATAGGCAAGAATCGCGAAAACAAAACGTTATACTATATGAACAAATTACTCGCGTGACCATTCGTGTCTGCGGAAATATTAACGAAAGCACTTAACGTACATATATGAAAAAAAAAATTATCAAAGAAAACGACATTTTGGCGTTTTTCCAAAAACAAATGCCATAAGACAAATTTTTATATTTTGCTTATTGTTAGTCTATGTTCTAAGTAAAAGAGTGCGGGAAAAAATTGGGGGTCAACGTGCTTGTTTTCCTACTACAGTTTTTAAAAATTGTATCGAGCCACCTTAATATATTTGCATGCGCCCACTATAATTTCGAAGCCACACCAACTATGGCCACACTTACCTTCAGTGTTTCTGCATTATAAAATGAGGATAAATCTCTATATGCAGACAAAGCCGACAGCGACCTTAACAAAACAGTGTTTAAAAAAGTGTGTTAAGGTATTAATTCATAGTTATTATATAGCAAGTGTCCAAATTCATTTTCCTGTTTAACGATTGGTCAAAACCGTACCACGTGCTGGTCCACAAAACGTCATGTTCACTGGTCAACAATTATAATGAAACGACCGGTCAATAATAAAACCGGAAGTGTTTCAGCATGTCGGTTTTATTACAGTTTCGGAATACTAGGGGGACTATTGAGACTGACACTTGCTATATATAATAAAACACGCATTTACTGACACCTCGGGGAAACAGCGTATTTTGTGGCCCTTCGACCGCCGTCGTTGCCCTCGGCTTCGCCAACGGCGGTGTCGGGGCCACAAAACACGCTGTTTCTCTCGGTTTCAGTAAATAATTGATAATTAATTATATTACCAACTTGCTATATATTATCCCGAATATTCTAACAACTATAACTGGACAGAGTGGCTTTTTGAAATCAATGAATCACATTTGAAGTCAAAATATTTATAAGAAGTAATTTCCAAATCAAAATATATTAGGTGTTTAAATTAGTTCCACTAATAAGCAGATGGCTTTTCTCTATAAGCAATTTGAAAGATTGGTTCTTAATGAGTTAAGAGCGTTCTAAAGGCTGGAATTACCAATTTGTACGTGGACACTACTTGTCATTCCCTGCAATAAACTGAAACCTCTTCTAACATGTCAGCAGCAATACAGTACAATTGTGGTAATCACACCAGTAGGGCCTGCATTGGCTTCATTTAGGCATAGCAGCACTGTACCCAGTCCTCATTTTTAAGCCAGTGCTAATAACCTACAAATGAAAACCTGTTTTTAAAATACTTGTATTTGTAAAATCTTTAATCTATGGCTAATTGGTTTTAGCTGATTTAATTAACTACTTTCTTACCTTGGAGTTATTTCGGTTTTCCTATTTAATGATCTCGTTGATCGATTGAAGCAAACCAGTATACCTGAAAAATATAAAGCGCTCTGTTTTGCATGATGCAAGGCATAGTTTTGAAATACACATTCCAGGCAAAGAGAACACGTTGTATAAATTTCCCATACATTTTCTATCCTAATTCAGACAAACTGGCAAATTTGATCCATTTGTCCTTGATGTGGGCATTAGCTCCATAACTGAACTTCCGAGTTAAACTGTTCAACAAGCTTACATTCTGCCTTCCAGTAGCCTGCGGTGAGGCGAGGCGCCGGAAGACGCAATTGCGAAAATGCGGGCGATAAAACAGCCTGCCGCAAAACCAATACGCCAACCTCGTTCCCAGGCTCTCCCTCTTGTGGCGAAAAAACCCTAGTCGGAGCTGGTCACGTGATAGCCTAAGCGGGCGAGGGAAAGTTTCTTATATTTCCTCGGAGCTCGGGCGCAGTCTCATTTCACGTTTTTGCTCTGTCTCTGGTTCAGATCGATATTTACAGTGGGAGTGAAAAGTTTGAGTCAAGTCAATATGCTTTCGCCTTTTATTGATATACAATATATTTTCACACAGTTTCAATTCAAAAAAGCTCGAAAGATGCCAAATTTGGGCAATGTTTATATCTGGGGTTCGCCTTTGTTATGAGCAGAACTGATGCGCAGAACGGAGTGGACATCATAAAAAATATTACTAACATGCTTAAAGTGAAGAATAATCAAAAACATAATTTGCGCAATAATAATTGTGATTATTCTCTTGAAAAGCATTGGCTATTCAGGCCCAACCATCTGGAATAAATTACCAGCTAAATTTAAAATTCAGTATCATTACGAAGATCTAGAGCTCTCCTCCGAGACAGATAAACACACAATTATGTAATGTAGTTGATAATTTTTCCAATATTGCACAATATGAATGGGTGGGAGGGTGGGTGTGTATATCATGTATATAGGGTATATGTTTAAGACTGTGTGTATACATTTTGATCCTTTTTATTTATTATTTTTTTTATTAGTCAACGGCCCCTTGGAAATCAGCTTTGCTACAATATTTTGCTGAAGGGCTACCGTTGCTTGTATGTGTGTAAATAAGATTTAATATTATAATATAGCATTTGTAAATTCTGAACGCTGATTGGCTAAGAGCCGTGTTGATATAACTGAATGTCAACATCGAAACGTCGGAAATTTTTTTTCTTTCTATTTCTTTGTGCTATATTATAAAACAAATATAAAACAGTTTTTCCGTATTGATATATAGTTATATCAACACTCGTGGAAATTGGGAAAACTCGAAAAAGTGTGAAAACACTCCGCCCTTCGGGCGTCGTGTTTGCACACAGTTTCTCATTTTCCCAATTTCCACTCCTGTTGTATATCAACACGGAAAATGTTTTATATTTGTTAAATAATAATAATAAAATACGCAACGTTCCAAACTGTATCGAAAAAAAGCTTCGTCTGTAACTAAAATATTCAATATTTCCAACGCTTTATTAATGTATTCCTTTATAATGTAAACAAGGGCAGCTGGCCAACCCGTTTTTTCCGTGATAGTCGAACGAATAATTCATGCCTATAAGTGCAGTCTACAGGTAATTGCAAACTGGAAAACCTCTGATCTAGGGCATATGTCTATTACTTCATTGCATGGGCAATTTTCTATACAGAATTACATATCAATTTCACCGACATACCATTGGCACAAAAAGCTGCTCTCGACGTTCGTGGAAAAGGAATAGCAGCATCTTGCCAACCAAAAGCACCTGTATCCAAACTGTATGGATGGAATTGAGAATTTATGACGCCGCAATCTTCAACCTGTAAAAATAAAACTGGCAATTATGTAAACCAAACAAGATATACTTTGAGACTGTGCATATTACCTCCGCCAAAGTCCCTCATCGAAAGTATCCACGTAAAAATTATCTACAATTATACCAATTCAGTTAATTCTTTTCAAACCGGTCAAACGTTTGTATATTTAACTAAACTAAAATTTGTATTTTTCCTTGTAGAGCTGCCCCCATCAGTTAGTGGCAGTGATAACTATAGAGTATAGTCGCGTTTGTCATTTAAGCCCGTTTTCCACTCACGTATATATTTCGCCGCCGCTGGCGAAACATTTCGCCACCGAAAAAGTTAATTTGTTGTTCTTTCGCGCCGTCAACGAAAGGTCAAACAGAAGTTGAACATTTTAAGCAACTGTAGCAGGAGAACAAATTTCTTCAGCGGCGAATGAATGTAAAAAAATGATTTCTTTGTCAAACTTTTTCGCTAGCAGCGGCGAAATACGTGAGTGGAAAACGGGCTTTAATCACATGCATCGAAAATATCAACGGGAAAGAAAGTTATCAAGGTATCACATTATTCACGGCTGCTTTGTTGATCGTTTATTATTAAGGATATATAATCGATTGGAAAAACACACAAAAAAAGCCAAGAAATAAATCATTCAAATGCCCGTGCGTTCGGTTTCAATTTTTATCTAAATCTGATAAATTGTACTTGTATTTTGTATTTTGAGTAGGAGTGTATACTAAAACAATTAGACAACTCAGCCTCGTTGTCCTATTGTTAAATGTTTCTATACCGGGCATTAGCACCAAGCCTGTATTTGGCGTTATTTGACAATTAGAGCGTAATTCGAAATTGGTCTATTAGTATATGTATAATACGATGGTTTAGAGTGCAATTTGGATGAAACATGCACCAGTGAGGTATTTGAAAACCTCACGAGTGCTTGTTGTATCTAAATTTCACGAGAAACCTTTCTTCCTTTAGCGAACCGTCTACTGACAACGTTTTCCCCTGGAGCGTAGGAAGCTTCGAAAAGTTGGGGGGGGGGCAGGCTTTGAAAGGCAATTTTCAAAAAAAAAAGGCATCTAAAAATTATTTTTGGCGACACCCCCCCACCCGTCGCCAAAATAATTTCGGTCAGTGTACCATTTTAGGGGTCAAAAAAATTTTCCAGACATACCTAAAAAAAATTTTCCGCATATACCACATTTTTTCCTAAATTTTTCAGGACATACCATAAATTTTTATAATAATAATAATAATAATAATGATAGTTATATAGCGCCTATACATTGTTCTCCTAAGCGCAATAACATAGAAATAACATAGATTGAATTTTTCAAAAGTGCCCTTTGGGCAAAAAATGCAATTTTAATGAAAATTTTTCACGCGAAAAAAGGGCACTTTGCTCCCGGAAAAAGGGCACTAGCCAAAACTTGGGGGACCTGCCCCCCCTGGTCCCTCGGTTCCTACGCCCCTGATTTTCCCGCTTTGTTACATCACATTATACAATGCTAACGGCTTGATTTTTTTTACGAAGTATATTTACTAATTTAATCCTTAATTTTAACTTATTAAAGTACATTTCTGAATGTGTGGACATCCATTAACAACTGTATGTAAGATTTTTCCTTAAAAATTAAGCATTCCTTAAAAACTATTTTTATTGTACAACAATATACCACAACATTGCAAAATAAAATAACAAAAAAGCATTATTTTTGCTTGAGTAATGCTAAAACGAACAGTCTACAGCACAAAAGACTTTCGTTTGAGCGTGATGCGGCGGTGTATGAGATACAACATCATGGCAGAATTTCCCAACTCAATCATGCGAAGTATGTTTGCATACATCAATGAATACCAACTCTCCATATCCATGTCGCCGTCCCAAACCTTCAAAATCCCTGAAATAACCCACAGCTTCATCACAGCACAGGAGCCGCCTATACACGATATAACAGTAGTGACGGTCGATTCTCTATTCTCACTTCTCGTCTTATCCATACGATTGCCTTCCGTTTTGCAGTTTGGTCTTTCCATGATATCTACGCTCACGACGTTCGATTTTTCCATCTGCGTACAGACGTCCGAAGTATCGTCATAGGAGATCTTACCATAAACATTCATGGCGCACAGTCCACACATAAAAGAACCGACAGCCAGTAAAGAAATGATGTTTTGTGCCACATGCTGATCACAGGGAAGCATTGTTTCTAAGCTTTCTGCGATGACGAATAAGTAACATTGCACAACCACCAAATCAAATACAAGCTGTGTGTGATTTACTCCATGTTTCAGACCAAGGTAGCAAATCCGAGTGAATGCAGTTACTAAACATGGAAAACCTACGTTAAATAGAAATCGCTCGAAAGCCAAGGGTGATAGGTGTATTTCTTTGTTAATGTAGCGATGAAACAGCAAGAGCAAAGCTCGACTCGCAGTAAAAATAACGAAGACACCGTTAACTGCGAAATTGATGCGAGATAATGGCATGTTACGACCACGTATTAAGGCATGAAGTGATGAACCTGTGAGAAGTAAGAATGCCATCCCAAAAATCATATAATGCATATCGTAAGCCAATTGCCACTCTTCATCCATCGGTGTGGATCGCCGAAATTTTTTATTTGTCAAACGTTTTAAATACAATCGTAGTCTTCAATATAACACGTAACTCCTTTTTTGGCTTAGCTTGAGATCACACTTAAATGATTGACGTTGCCAACCTGTGCTTAATTAAAAGCTGGTTGAAGAGCTAAAATTTCAGTTGGACATGTAAAAGTAGTCTAAAAATCAATCGATTGGATGTTCAACACTTGACGTTTGATGAATATTTTGTAATACAGCCTGATGTGTTCTATCAGCCAATGACATTCACGTTTGTTGCTTTTGGTTGCAGTCAGATACATGCATGTATATACTATTATACTTGCCAAATTATCATTGCATGTGTGCATTGCTTGTGAACTTTTGAAATTTATCAGCAGGGAACTACTAAGTGATGGCGTATATTAAGATATATAGTCTTAGGTGTGGGCGTTTTATTCTATAAATAGTGTCAGTGATATAAAAAGGTCTTTGACTTTATATTCGGTTGATCTCATTTAGTCTCATCCATAATTTTGGTGTTCACAGACTTCATTGTTCAAAATCAACCCATTTCCGTTTCTTGTTATCTTGTCTCAATGATAACGTGTGAATTATTTTTAAAGTGCATATGAAACGAAAATTTTCATTATCTTATGTATAAGAACTATGTAAAAAATGTTCCAGTTTTTTATTGCGTTTCTTCGTTTTCGAGATATTTCAGTCAGTTAGATATACATGTCATGGTTTCTACGTCACAAAATGCATGACTTATCAGATTAAGTTGTATATCGTGATCTTGAACTGTCTTTACCAGTATATGGGTAGTGCCAATAATACAAACAAGCTTTCTCTGTGTCGGTGTTATGTACTCAGGTGAATACGATGTTTTGTGGTGTTACAAGCTTTCGTTGGAGGGATAAAGGTAACTCCAGACGAAGGGCCCTCGCTCGAAACGTCGAAATTTTCCTTATATTTTTCAGGTAGTTGTGTCCATACGAACGAAAGCTTGTTTAGTTAATTAATTAATTAAGCTGTATATCCTTGCTGTTATCAAACAAATCGCATTTTAGAAGTATATTGTGGATTTGTGTTGTTTTACATGATCATCAAATATCTGGATTCTCCACAGGCGGCCCAATTTTGCAAGGATCGGTATAGTAATGTATATTAAGTAAAAATATGTCATAAAATTACATATTTTAAAATGAAATTTACTTTATATTTGATAGTGTTCTCCTTTTGGTCCTCTTTTGTTGGACTAATATTTTCTTTGATAGAGACTCTAATAGACACTTTGCACTCGATGACTGCGGCCGCTACTAGTATACATAATACATGATAAAGCCAAACGACTTCCGATCGTCCATTCGTTGGCGCAAGCACTTCGAATCGAAAATTTACCCCCTCGCATTTCTTCAAACCTCGTCGTAAAATACGTGAAATAGCGTTCTATTTTCCCGGTGGACCGTGCCCACGAACCCCCTAGATTTCTCGCGCCTTTGGCGCTAGCACTCCAAATTCCATAAACATTTTGACACCATCAAAGGTTAGACCCTGGCTATAACACTGTCTACTTAGACCACTGCGACCCAATATGGTTATATTTCGACATTTTCGGAGACTTCTGTCCAAGCTGAAGCTTCGTTAGAGTTTTGCTTTTGGTTCTTTATTCTTTTACACTGACTGCAATTGGAGTTGAAAATATGTTAGGTTAGAATTACATGGGGGGAGGGAACCACGGAAGGGAAGGGAGTAGGGACGGGGGAACAATTAAGGGAAGGGGGGACGGAAGGAGGAATTGGAGTTATGAGGAGAGGTAGAGGAAGGAACATTGTAGAAATGGAGAAAAAAAGATGGGATAGAAAGGGGGTATCAGATAGGAAAAAAGAGACGCGGGGGGAAGAAATGAAGGAAGGGAATTCCAGATGAAGAGGGGAGGAAGAGGGAAAAGAAAGAATGCGGCAGGAAGGCGCGAGAGCAGAAGGAAGGGATAGAAGGAGAATGGAGGAGAAAAAGGAAAAATGAAGGGACACAGGGAGTGGGGAAGGGGAAGAAGGGGTGTGAATGGAGAAAGAAAGGATTTCTAGCTAGGAGGAATAAATCTGTAATGCAAATAACGATGCAAACAGACAATGAAAATAAAGAGGAACCAGAGAAAAATAAACAAATGAATAAAATCTTTTAAAAAATCTTCCAGAGGGAAGCATACCAAAGATTGTTGTTGACACAGCAACAATAGCGGTGTGTATGAAGAATGGGTTACCAAAATCTTTCATGATGTTGGTGACATGGAATTTAATCAACCATGTGTCTTTCCTTTGCAACTAAAATAGTTAAATTCTCTCAGTTTTCGTCAGGATTAAGTATTTAATACATTTCAAACAACAGCTAGTGACATAAACTAAAAATTTTAAATATTTTCCTGGACATTTATACCAGGCATATTTGATGGTTTCGTTGTTTTCGTTCTTCTTGATATTGTTTTTATGTAAGAACGAAAATCAGAATTGATTGGTTGTCGTGTTGTAATTTTACAGTTTAGTTTAGCTTAGCTTCGGCGAAATTCGGTTCAGTAGCGAAGCCTGACTGGCCAAAATATATTTTAACAAAACAAGCAAAAACAACAAACATGAAAACTCATATAAACAAACACACAAAACAAGTTAAAATTAATACACATACCAGGAAGGATATTTTTACGACGCTGTCGAAGTAAGCTTCGACAAATATACTTCGCAGTTCACAATTTGGCTGAAATGTAGCACAGCTGTGATGTTTGCTGGTGCGCCTTGAACATCATTTCTGTCAGAGTGTCACAGTACAAATCTATTTTATTAATGTAACTTTCGCTTGAAACCATTTGGATAGAATTATGGTTCCATTTTCATAGGAAACCTTACGCATGCACGCACAGTGGAAATTTTCTCTGTATTTGCATGCCATGCCATGATATTTTAACCGTAATGACCATTGTGCTTGGGCATCAATACTTTTTTCCGTGCTAAAGGAATGAGAATTAGAGGCAAGTTTAATAGCGAAAGACGAAAAAAGATTTCGTGCGCGCGAATCTGTTTGCGCACGTCATCTTATTGATCTTACGTTATTACTTCGCTAGTACAATGAGCTCTCTATATATCTGGAGGGCCTGGAGCAAGAACATCAGTCATTCGGCCCATGAAGTGAAGACAATTAGATGGCGCCCATTGACGTCCATTAGCTCTGAAGGTTAGGCTTCTACAGATTATGCTCGGCAACTTTTTGGTAACTTTTTGCATGTGAAGGGCTATTAGTAAAACCAGGAACACCGGAACAACGGAACACCGGAACAGCATCATTCCAGAACACGGAACACCGGAACACTAAAAATTCTTAATTTGTTAAAAATTCGGAAAAAAAATACCGGGGGGTGTGAAAATATTGCTGCAATAATTATTGCGTAAAACGTGCCTTTCTGACCGATAGCTACTAATGGCGAACAGAAATCCACGCAGAAATCAGTCTCAAAGTAGTAAATATTTGCCCGAAAAATAGAAATCAAACCTAGAATTGTTAATATTTGTTGAGAATATTGAATGGCCCATCTTTGTTTGTTGTTGAAAACATGACAATCAAAATATTAAAGTAACAACAGTTGATTGGCTTCCTTGTTTTTACCAACTTAGCTACTCTTGAAGTACAAAAGGATATTAAATTTTCAATTCTCGTTCGAAGTTGATATTTAGCATCACTTTAATATACAGACAGTTCTTTAATATTGATCCTTTCTCACACGAAATATTTTATAAGCGGCGATGGATAAAAAACCTTTAGTGCGTGATAATATAAACCTTTCGCTCAATTAAAATGACAAAAATACAAACGAAATATAATTATAGACCATTTATTAAGTTGTATATATAAATGATGTTTCAACGCATGCATGTGTGTCTATTTGTTCATGTTTAAACTGCAAATTAAACTGACACTCAGTGAGGGAATTTTAGTACGAGTAAAAATCCTACGACTCTATCCGCGTTGTCGCTCGAGTTTTCGCAGACGCTTGCTCTGAGATTCAATATTGTTGGCAGTCTATAATGTGGCCGATAGCATACCCGAGCATACTAACCTACATATAAGCGCTGTACTAGGCTATCTGATGTCCTGACTCCTATATATATCATTATGGAGGTACTGACACAGTATAGGCTATAGCACGAAAGATTGCATACACTACAAATTATTCCCTTTTAGGATGCGCCAGTTTAATTTATATTTATACTCAACAAGTTGATCTTCTGCTGACATGCTTGTACTGAATCAACTTGTTGTTTATAAATATAAAACTGGCGCATCCTAAAAGGGAATAATTTAATGTATGCAATCTTTCGTGCTAGATAGCCTATACTGTGTCAGTACCTCCATAATTATATATATATATATATATATATATATATATATATATATATATATATATATATATATATATATATATATATATATATATATATACATGGGGTCAGGACATCAGATAGCCTATAGTACCGCGTCGTTGTGTGCGACCTTCTTATATGTAGGCTAGTATGCTCGGTATGCTCTGCCATATTATAGACGGCCAATCTCAGAGCAAGCGAAAACGCGGACAGACTCAGAGGATTTTTACTCGTGCTAAAATTCCCTCACTGAGTGTCAGTTTAATTTACAGTTTAAATATGGCATGCATGCGTTGAAACATCATTTATATATACAACTTACATGGCCTATAATTATATTTGTTTGTATTTTTGTCATTTTAATTGATAGATAGATAGATAGATTGTTGGTTTAATAAGATTAACACATAGCAGCCAATAAGGCTGAATTGCGTGCCAAATTTTACAAGAGAAATGATTAAAATTAGTTATTCTATATTTACAGAAGTTTAAAATTACATTACAATTTATAATTCTATATTACAGAAGTTTAAAGTTACATTACAAATTAAC